GATAAGACTCTTTTTAGGAATTGGGTTTCTAAATTTCAGGCATGTTTCGTTGTCTATAATAAAACGATGGTCTTAACTTACATGTTATTTGTTCGATACATTCAACAGTAGTTTCAGTGAGCCATATTTGGCTCGGTGCTAGGGTTCAAGTTTATTGAATTTTCTGTAATAAGTACATAACTGAACTTATATGAAATGAATGGTAAATCACGAATCCAAATATATTAAATTTAGATTATCCAATGCGTTTTCACATTAGAATGACAATGCCTTCACAATTGCCCTGAAACATAATAAGTTTTCTTGAAAAAATTTATAATTTCCCTAGCAATCGATCACGGTGGGACTCGAACCCACAATCTCCCGCTCCGGAGGCGAGCGCCTTATCCATTAGGCCACGCGACCCAATCCTGTGAGAGGTGAAGTCTTAAGCTTTTTTATAATTAAAGAATATGGAAGGAGGATTGTTAATTAGCAATGCCTTGTAATACTTTATCTTAAGAAAACCCTTTTTTGATTTTAATATATATATATATATATATATACATTAATTAAGGATATTATTATTATAGAGAACTGCGCAGCCCTATGCATGGTATCCAGAAAAGAAATGTAACTGCATCATCAACTTCTTTCAGTAACAGAAAACAATAAGAGGCTGACTTTTAAAATAATATGTAGTAATAGAATTTAAATTTCGACCTCTCATGCATATTCAACAGTAGTGAATTCTACAAAATTTGTACAAGCTTAGACCATTTTAGTTTAATAAAGAAAAAATATTTTATTAGTAGGCTTGGTTTTTTTTCCTTCTTAAAAATATGTAAATAAGTCATACATAATACTCAATGCCTTTTACACACCTAGAACAATATATATATATATATATATATATCAAACATATTTGACCATTCTTGTGATTAATTTTTCTCTTATTTACACTTTTTTTTCTTGTCGTTATTGTATTAATGAAAATCGACATATTCTAAGTAGTTCATGTGGCTATTTTACAATGTGACTCCAATTTCATGAATGTGATGCATTTCTACCACCTGTTTGATTGATGGATGAATGGACAGATTGATTGATTAATTGATTCTTGGCATCCCATTACTTTCACCGTCACACTGGGTTGGTGCTTCTTTTTTATTTCTTTCTTTATGTATTCTTATTTAATTAAACTAAAAGATAATTATAGATTACAACATTCCTCACCCTTCTTCACTGTCTATATTACTTGTCCTCAATAATAACTACATTCTATGGTAATTGTATTTAATTTATTCTCAATCAATATGTATGCATGTATGTTTTTAGGTGAAAAATATGAAAAAATATGAAAAATATTCATCCTCAAAGAAAAATAATAAAGACCACACCACTCCACTTGGAGCATGCTCGCAATTTCATAAAGAATGTTGTAATTAATTCTCTCTTTTAAAATACAAGAATTGTTTGGCCCCAATTATTGATCTGCTCATTGAGACGAGTATACGAATGTCCTTAAGTTCATTAAAAAACTTCAATCTCTTATAATATAAAATTTTCAGATGAGAATATATATATATATATATATATATATATATTAGATTGGTGATCATAAAACTGCAGCTAAAATTGATGATCCACATTTCAGTTGCCCTCATAATGTTGGGACCCACATGATTGGTTGCTTGTAAATTTAAAATGGATTCATCCACCAAACACTGGATTTCAATTTTCTTTATTTGATGAGCTTATAAAAAAATTAATATTTCTATAAAAATTCAAAAATTCAAAATATTCCTTTGAAATAAATAGTAATCTAATTGATGTAGAGTAAAATAAATCAGTTGAATATCTCTACAGTTGTAAATTTTAGTTTTTTTTTTAGTTTTTTTTAGTTTTTTAGTTTTTTAGTTTTTGAGTTTTTGAGTTTTTTTTTTTTTTTTTTTTTTTTTTTTTTTGACCCAAGACACATCCCAAATTATAGACAAACTTTATTTGATGAAAGATGCTTAATATAATTCATGAATCAATTTATTGAATAGTTAACTTCAGACACTAAACATAACATTCCAAAGTGCCATCAACTTTATGGTATTACATGTACACACAGTATGAAAAAAGGAAAGATAAGTCCAAGAGAAGAGAAATTTTGAATAAATGTGAAGCTATAGGAACATTTTTGTTTGTTGCTCTGTTAATGCCCACATTATAATCAATATGACTAAAAAGTATATGCAAAATTATTAACATCAATAACTACAAAAATACTACAAGGTAAGCAACCCTGATAAATTTTCATACATTTTCCATTCACTAATATCTGATGAATGAACAAGAGGAGTGAGATAAAGACCTACAAATTAGTTACATATTACCTGGGCAATCAAGGATGAATGATTGTCAATTCAAAACCAAATCTGTTTTGTGTAGGAGTAGAGTAAAGAACCAGCTGAGAAAAGGTACCAGACAAGTTCTTTCTGTGCTATGAGAAACCAACAATGGCACTACAAACAGGGTCTCCAGATCAGAGTATCCAGAACCATTACAAAGGGATGGGTTGCATGGGGAGCAGTGAGAGGCCCTGTACTCATGTTGTTTCGAAGGGGAAAGCATCCAATTTTGCAGAACAGGTACCCAGCTTGCACCTCTGACCTTTTTACTTCATCTGTCCATTGTTCATCTGTCTCTACAACACATAAATGTTGGGTAACTGCCTCAAATTATGTGAACAATTCACTGATAAACAAAATCAATTGTTGGGAATCCCTAAAGTATTGGTATAAGGGTGCATGGTTAAAGATCTAGAGGTTTTGAAAAAAAGCAAAACACAAACATAAACACAAAAATATTTGAGAACAATTAAATAGAACAAAAAATTAGGATTTATTAAAATGTTCTCATTTGGGGAGCCATTAGGATTTTCTATTCATTCAGTACCATGTACCAGCTGCTTACCTATTCTGCAACTGCAGAAAGCATCAAGTTTGGTTTTCTCATCAATGGGCACCATTCCTGCCCCATCAATGGTCAGTTGTTGAAAGTGAAGCAAATAGGATTAAGATGGGGGCACCTGTATGATTTCCTCATATACAAAGCACTAAGGGAGGAAGCTTAATCAATGAAGGCTTAATGAGGAAGAGTTTTATTTTATTTTATTTTTCTGGGACACAAGTAGAGGTTTATTGCAGTAAAAGGGTTAATTTACAATGGAAGAGCTTTTTCACACTCCTGTGTACTGGCAGAGCACAGAAATGATGTTCCTGTTTGTCTTGCCATTTCTTGTTTAAAGGAGAATGTCATTAGTTACAAAATGATTGGGTTGCTTGATTGCTTACTTGTTTCAGGAGAGCTGCAGAGGGATGTGAATGCATTTTCCTTGACAGTTCACTCAGTGATAAGAGCTTCGAAAGCATTCAAAAATGTAATCCCCTGAGTGATGAACTGATTGCTGAATGCCTGGGGGAAACTGGGAATCTGCAGGTTTTGATGTGACTAGACAGCAGTAGTTCCTTCGAATGATCCACATGAATATGACTGGAACATGTTGAATGATGCCATCTTGTGATTCTACCAGAGCACTTGAAGAGATAACAGCTGCTTGTTGCATTTCCTGCACAGGTCAGCCTAGTATTATTCTAACCGTTACACAACTTTTCAAACACATCTTCCAATATTTACTGCGTGCTATAGTAAAACGTTCTGTTACTTCTTGGTCAAAAATCTCATTATCATTAGGCTTGGTTTACTTCAAGGCACATTCTCATATTTTACACTCTCCTCTCGAAAGTAACAATTCCTTACATTCTGAGTGCAACTTGCAGTAATCGGTACGGGAGGAAATTATCATGCTGAATCTCGAAACTTCTTTCTTCTGCCATTAGTACTGCAAACATCATTATTTGTATTTCATCTCTGCAAGCGTGCGTCAGCACAAATGAACATTCTCTATGACAAATCTTATGCTTCTCAAAGTGACATTCCATCGATTATTAGGCACGCCTCCCCCGTTGTTCAGACCAATTTCGGGAGGGTAATTCTTTTGGCTGGTATGTTTCCAGAATTGCGACACACAAACCTTCTTTGAGCAGTTTCTAGAGCAGAGATCAGTATCCTGTAAATCCCCATTTCATATACACGAATTCGGCAATACATGATTCAATTAAATGCGGAGACAGAATAGTTGTGAATGCGAAATTTGGATCTGCAAGAGGAATTTTTCCAATCCTCCTAGATATAAACTTTGGGAGACTCCGTCTTTCGACATCCAACTACGTCACTGTCACTCCAGAAATCAGATACCTTAAGGAACCACATCCAAAAATTAAGCTAAGACTAAATAAAATTCTGCATTATCTGAACGAATGTGAAGTGTCACGGCTTCCAAAGCTATCTTGGTGCAATTCAGTGTGACCTTACTCTGAAAACAGCATTGAGGAGGTCCCAAAAAAGTTCTGGCAAACTAACTCTCTTAAATGGTGCAATTTTTCCATCAGTAAAAATTGGACTGGACAACTTACAGCAGAAAAATGAACCGGTGTTTCTATGTCAAAATCTCAGTTCTCCAGTGCTAAGGGAACAAAATGAAGTGACAGTAATCCTCTACCCAATGATTCTAAGTTTGAAAATTCGTATGACGTGCTCCATGAAAAGCATTTGGGATGTGATTCTTCAACGAAGCACATCTTACAAATTCATGCATCGAACTGCAAATCACCCAGCCAATATTTTTGAGTATTAAATTCATCATATGATTGAGGGGTGATGTTTGTACCGGAAGATTTTTATGACGCCTTTGTCAAGCATGCAGAACACTTGGTGGCGTGTACTTGGGCGTGTTCCTGCAAGGCTCTGGGGATGACTCTTTTAGTGTCAGGAAAGTCCTGCAGCTTTTGTCAATAAGCTGAGCTTTTGCCTTACACCACTCATGCACATGTGAGACAAAATCCGTAACTGCGGCCATTTCACACTCTTGCGGCAAATTGTAAAAGAGCACCACAGTAGTACAAGGTATCTGAAAAAACATTGAAGTTCCGTCTTACAAATGCCCAGATTAAATGGCTTACATAAATACAACCGCCAAAATGTCGTCACAACATGTGTTATTTATTTGGTCTGAACCGATGGCTAAAAACCAATACGTGCTATTCTTCAGGTTCAACAAACCAATTGTTTGAGGCAACTATTTTCAGAGAAGTATCACTAAGCGTTACCATTCAAACTTTAACTTCGAGGCTTGAGTAACACTCAGCGATCCTGAAGCAAAGAACCCTCCTATCATGTGCACAATTCAGGATATGGAAAGCTCCCTGATAAAATACCTTAATTGATCAATATACTTAACTGACATAAAAATATCAAAAGTAGATAATTAGAAATTGAAATAAGGGACTCTACTCACTTCCACAAGTACTGATCTATAAGCCGTAGGTTTTAATCAATAAAAAATTAGTTTCCGAAACTGAACTGCGAAGGTAGTCAGTAACACCAACAGTAGGCTATGTGGTGGACACATCCACCCACTGCTTCATCACATTGTAGTGCTCTCCACTATTTCGATACTCCACAATGCACCTGTTTGTAACCTGCTTCGATTCCAACACGACATTACAGCATTCTCAGTCAAGGGAAACCTCCTGAAATAATTTCGTGTTCTAAACAAGGATGTGCTGCTTGAGATTGACTACCAAGCCATGAAATTACATCTGGAGTTTACGACTGATGACTGGTGTTGATTAGACAAACCATAAATCCCTATCGATTACAGACCTGTCACCAGTCATGCTGCATGGATGAGGTCCAAAATGAAACGAGGAGAGTTGCAGTTAATGCTCACTATTACTACTTGCGAGATTCTGCACATCAAGGCGACACAATCAGTTGATTAATCCCCCTCCATTACATTTAAACCATCTGTAGAGTTCAATGCCGACTATCTATGTGTTTCACCACAACTACCGATGAATCCAGCTATAGGAGCACAATAACATGAACCAGCTTGGGCAGTCCCTGTGAGCACCTTGAATTGACGCTCATTCCGATACCGGCCGCGATCCGTGCGAGAAATTTGGACATCCTTCTGGGGCAAATGTTCCACTTCATTAACTACCAAACCTTCACTTTGAAAACGTGGAGTAATTGCCTGTCAACCGTACAAAAATCACGTGTCGTATTACGAACATACTGAGAGAAAATCGGTTCTTAACATCACGATATGTGGAAAATGAATCAGTACAGACTCTTTGGCACACAGGAATACGACAGAGGCCATCTCCATCTCCTTCCAATAAAACAAAAGGAAAAAAAAAAAAAAAAAAAAAAAAAAAACACTCAAACTCAAACGAACAATTCTTACTAAACTCCAGCGACAAAAACATGAGAAACTACAATGAGCCATAACAGATGCGTCCAAAACTGCGCGGCGAGTATCAACGACACAACCTTACATCGCGTCCATCATCCTAGACCACAATCGCACATAAGTTAGGCGCAGCATTCAGCTCCTCAAACTCCGACAGAGTCTATTACATATTACTTTTCAAAAAAAAAATTAACAACTAAACGACTAATCTCGATGCATGATTGAATTCAACATAGCAGCAGTCAAAGCTCTCGATACAGGGCAATATAAGAGAGAAGAATCGGTTCAAAATAAAGAGGGAAAAGAGAAGAAGTGAAATCACAATTTCTGGATAAAAAGAGAGACGAGGAGGAAATAAGGAAATCAAGGCTGAGAAGAAACCTGAGGAGCGCATCGAGCGCGTACACAGGGGGGGCGTTGTGAGGCATTTCTGCAACAGGGAAGCGTGGCATGGCTTGGCGGCTATGCTGGTCCCGGGACACTTCTAATAAACTGGTCCTCGACAAAGCAGCACGGACATCGTCTCCTAGGCCTCTCGTAGACATCGCCACTGACCCCGAGGAACACGACGACGACGACAACGACGACAACGACGACGGAACTCGAGGTCTCATTTCAGGGGGGCAAATTATGATCACATACCGAGGTCTCATTTCAGGGGCTAATCAAGATCTCGTACTGAGGTGTCATATGAGTGGCTAATCTAGTTCCCGTATCAAAGGCCTGTATCCGGATGTGATTTGAGATCTCATTCCAGTGTAATTACGTAGCGGCTTTGATTGGATATCTTATTAGAATTTTATTCTCATTGAATCTGAATAATACATTATTTAAGTAACCAAGTCTATTTCAATTTTGAAATATACATGACGTTTTAGCATCCATTGATGTTTTGTGCATTCATTCATCCATTAACAATACATCCGTCCATGGCAATTGAAGATAAATGGGAGTGAAATTCAATTGGATTCAATAAAAATAACAAACATAACTAGCTCTATATAAAACAAAGGTAGAAAACAAAGCATATATATATATATATATATATATGAAATGTTAAATAGATATAAGTTTTTACTAAATCAACTCACTCATTCTAACCATCATGAAAAGTAAAAATGACCTTTCAATTCATTTTTCCACTATTGGATTTGCAACCAATAAAAATCAACTGCATTCATCAAGGGTGGATCTATTTAATAAAAGATTAGGTCTATTTAATATTCCCATAAATAAATAAATAAATATATATATATATATATTAGAAAATAGTAATAATTTAATTATTATAAAATTATTATAGTAATATTTTTTATTAAAAAAATAAATATAGTAAGTAAATACTCAAAATCTTAAGTTTTAATAGATGTTCTTAATTTATTTTATTTTATTTTATTTTATAATTTAAAGTACTTGCAAGATTTTTAAATGCCTCTTATTTGCATTTACCATCATATTCTTGCCAAATTATAAGATATTTCAACTTCTTTTGATACTACTTTAAATTTAAGACTTCTTTTGCTCCAAATCCTTGATTTTTATCTATTTAAAAAAATATGATATTATTTTTTTATTTTTTATACTAATAATAATATAAAAAATATATAGAAAAAATGATGAACTATTATCAATTATAGTAATTAAAATCAATATTTAATTAGATTTATTTTTCTAAATAAAAAATAGACCAAGTCTATCAAAATCTAACTTACAACAAGATTAATTGTTGAATGAAACTATAATATTCTACATGTCAAATCCTATATTGCTAGATTTTTAACTTTAAAAAGTTAAAAGTATTATATTGTGGATAATAGCCATAATTTACAATAAATTTTAATTTCTTTTTAAAATTTATTATTATAAGATTATATAAAAATTATATTAATAAAAAAATATTTGATGATAAATAAATAAAAACTTATTCCAATGTGTGATTCACATGTCTTATTTTTTTATTATTTTAAGAACATAAAAGTTGAAAATGACTTGATATCAATCTTTAATATATTAAAAGTTTCTTCCAAAACCTTGATACAAATTAGAAATCTTAAAGAAATATTAAAGTAGTTAAAAATTCATGATGTCTATGAATATCATTGAAGATAAATTTAGTTTTTTTTACTAAAAATATTTTTTATAAAAAATACAAAATATACTATTTTATTAAAAAATCTATTATTATAAAAATATGGTTATAAGAATTTAAATTTGAAGTATATTAAAATAGATAGTTTAGGTTGTATTGAAATATATAAAAGTTGTAGAAGTCTATAGAACTGATAGTGTAGAATATTAGCTTAAGTACAAATGTTACATAATTTAATAAATTCTTTGATAGCTTTTTAAATTTGAGGCCACCAAAAATCTCTTGAAATTGGCTCCAAAGTTTTAATATATCCAAAATGACTTGTTGTTGGAAAGCAAAGTTGTATTTAAAGTATATATAAATGTATTTAACTTTTTAAGTTATATAAATTTATTCATAGTTAATTTTTTTATTTTCAATCAAATTTATTAAAGTTACAGAAAATTATTTTTAATATTAAAAATAAGATAATTTATTAATGTTCTTAAAAAATGTAAAAAAAACTAATATGAATTATAATTTCTGACTTTATTGCTGAAAAATACAAATATTTTTTGTTTTTACAAATTCTTGATCATGTGTATCACTTTTATTTTTTGGTACAAGATAAAAATGTTTCAATGATGTATTGAATAAATATTATATTTTATAAGATAATATATAATATTCAATACAAATGGTGACAAAGATATAGTCCAACAAGTTTGGTAGTGATTTAGAATACATATTGGCACAAAATACTTAAGGTTCTTGTAATTTATACAAATTATAATAAAATAAAATAATTTTTTTTTAGGTATTAACACCATTCTTCAAATAAATCTATAATATAAAATAGCTCTTTGTAATAAATACTTTCAAGAATAAATTTAGATCATATAGAAGTTCTGAATCTAGTTTTGTTAAAAAATACAAATCAAAAGAAAGTACTTCCAAATACAAGTGTCTTTAAAATCCAACTTATGTAAATCTAACAAGTTATTTAGAAGGATGTAACTTTAAATAAAGCTTTATTTGTTGTATATTTTTTCAAAATTTTGATCTCGTTCTATCAAACTTTTTTGGCATACTAATTTTTTTGTTTTAACAAGAATTTTTGGATTCACTTGTGAAATTGTTCTACTTGCTTCTATCAACTATATAATTTTTTAGTATACATATTTGATCTTATTTTTGATTTTTGCCATAAGCATAATAATGAAACATCTGTAGTTGACATTGGTGATCCATGAAATTTTTGTCCTCAGAGTATTTATAAGTTTGTGAAGATATACAATAGTTGCAAATTTATTTTCACTTCTACTAAGTAAAACATCTAATATTTTTTCTTCCATAACTATAATAAACAAATTCATTAAATCATCAAGTTAAATTAAAAAAATAAACCATAAATTCTAATATCAAATGAAATTTTTTACAAAAAAATTAGTCTACTTTATTAAAAAAAAAAAAATGTTTGAAAACAAAAAATAGTAGTTTAATGGTAGACAATGCATAATCTTTAAAAAAACAAAAAAGTAGTTTAATATACTTATTTTAAAAATAAAATTAGTATAATAAATTGACACTCTTATCAAATTGTCAAGGACAAGAATTATAACAAAATCCTATAAAAGCAATATACTCTTTTAAATTTTCTTAAAAAGATAATAAATAAATCAAGAATAGTTATAAAATAGAAATTAGAATAGCTATTGTCAAATATAAGAAGACTAGAGATTCTTGAAATAATACTAAGAATAAAAAAGATATTGATATAAGTGAAGAAAGTATCACACTTGCTTTTATGAATACTATCTAACCAAGTAAATATGTAGCAACTTTCCATAGGTTATCTAACATGTATTTAATTAATAAGTTTTTTTTTTAAACATATATATTATATGACTAATTTATATTATAAGTGGTTAATTTTTCAAATAAGTGAAAAACATGTAAAACATATAGCTATCTTGTTGGCCAAATTTTTAACTTATCAATGACCTACAAACACTTAAAAAGTCAAATCCACATCTACAAATATTTTAAAAAGTTTTTAAAAAAGATAGTATTAATTTTACTTCTATTTTTTTATTTAATTCATCTTATCTATATTAGTGTTAATATATCTATGATACTTGTATTTAAAAATATTTGATTTAAAAAATCATTGCTTAAAGCTATAATAATTATTATAACTTTAAAGCAATATATAAGATTTGGTGGTTGTAGAAAACTTGTATAAAATTGTTACAATCTAGAATTATCTAATTATAAAGATATTTTTGGAATTAAATATATTTATTTTAAAAAAAAATCATGTTTGAATTTGTGTACCTTATCTTGAATTTATTTGATTTAATGCAAGAGTATAGTATCAAGGACATGAAGCTCAAAGAAAAAAATCCTCAAAGATGTAGTATTTTAGAGGAGCTTTAGAGTCAAAGATGTAGTATTTTGGCTTTTAGACCATCCCATGTAGGTAGATAAGATAAGTGATAGAAGACTTCATTTTTGTTGGTTGAAAGATATGCCAAATGGGCTTCAAGATGTTAATTGGGACCACATTGGAGTTTGAAACAACTTTAGGGCAATCCATTTGAAGCAAGGAAAACCATCCAAGAAAAGATGATCTATTCAAAGTATAGAAGCTGGATTTGAAAAGCTTGTATTTTGGGCTAGAATTTGGATGAAATTAAAATATAATTTAGAATAGTAATGAGAGAATTATGGTTGTTTGAAATTAGGATGTGTTTTTGGTACCTAATATTACTCTTTTAAGTATATAAAGAGTTATAAGAAAGCTTTGAAGAATAAAAAAATGAGGTTAAAAAGTTGACTTAAAGAACTAAATTTTATGTGAAAACATTAATACATTCTAATCTAGATCAAAGAAGAGAGAGTTTTTGGCAATTAGTATTAAAAACTAAGATTTATAAGTGAGTTTTTTTTTTAATGGAGGTTTTGATTTTTGCCATATCTTGAATTTTTAAAAGAAATTTTTAGCTAAAAATTTCCACAAATATAAATGACTATGTTAAAAAGTTGCACATAAAAAATTTAGAATATTTGAGCTTTAAAAGATATTATTAAAAAAATGGGGAGGTTTCATAGAAAGAATATTACTAAATTTTTGAGGGTCTACATGTGTGAAATGGAAATCTATGAAGTTTCAAAAGATAGCATCATTGAGACCTTTGATTGAGCGGTTCTTCTTGAAATCAGAGAAAGGATGAAACAACTATATTAGAGTATTAATATAAAAATATAGACTAAATTTAAAGAGAGATTGAGAGATGAATACTTCAATAAAAATAATGAAGAGATGACTAAGAGAAGCAAATATATGGAAGCAAACGATTACTAAGGGAGTTTGAAAAGAAATTTAGGCAATTCCCATTATCTGAGAAGCACCTTCTAGAAGTAAGAAAATTAGAGTTGTTCTTGCAAGCTACAATTAAGATGCT